CTACTAAATACTTCTAAACACAGCTCAACGACTAGATATTGCTACTAAATACTTCTAAACACAGCTCAACGACTAGATATTGCTACTAAATACTTCTAAACACAGCTCAACGACTAGATATTGCTACTAAATACTTCTAAACACAGCTCAACGACTAGATATTGCTACTAAATACTTCTAAACACAGCTCAACGACTAGATATTGCTACTAAATACTTCTAAACACAGCTTAACGACTAGATAATTGAATCACTTATGGAGAAATAGAAGGCAAACACTAAAACCGTGAAAAACGTTTAGTATTTCATTTGTCCTTTATTTGAATTTCACGGTTCCCTGCGCCATCTTGAAAGGTAACCGTACCTGTGAATAATTGTCTGTAGGTGTGAAAGAAGGTTTCTATCATTGCACACTCAGCGTTCGTCTCGCTTCGATGCAAAGGCACGGATACCTTTCAAGATGGCGCAGGGAACCGTGAAGGAGACCATTGTAGTGAATTATGTGCGCTCCTTTGTTTTCTACAATCTAATTTACTCTATAAGTATTACTATATTTAGCACTATTTAGTACTTTTTCACCGTTTTCGTGTTTTTACCCTACATCTTTAGCAAATAATTCATAAATGTCAATATTATGGTCTAGATAACAAAGGTGAAGTGCAGAAAAACGTCACCAATCCTAACACACCGGTCGAGGACGCTGCGTATTTCTATGAAAATGCTACTGACAGTAAGGCTTTGTCGTTTGTTTGTTTATTTTGTCGTTAGTTTGTTATGAAAGGGCATTCTTTGATTTGATTGGCTGAAGGAATACTATTGATTTCCCACAATTCTTTGCATCAATGTTGTGTTTATTTTGCAGTCATCAGCTCAATGAGGAAGGTGTCTCCTGTACATGGTTTAGATAGAGGTGAAAATTATACAATATACATAATACATAATTTTCAAGAATTGCCCTGATAAGGTTACTCAAGATATTTCATTCCCATATGAATTGCATTTGCCATATTTGGAAATCGGTAAACGTTTTTCAGTAAAAAGCTAATTTTCTTCCCAACACTTTCTCATTCTTAAGTAAATCAAGTGAACACATCCTTAAAAAAGAAAGCTATCTACGCTTTGGGCGAAAAAGGACCGGATTTCTGTAGGGGTAGGGTAGGGTAGGATTTTGTTATCTTAGGAAGACCAAACACGAAAGGGCTGGTAATTGATTTGTTTTGATAACATTGTTAAACGATTTGGTCAGGATTAACTGTCAATGAATTATGTTAATCAGTGTTGATGATTTCCATAGGATTCGGCAAGGATATAGCATGGATGACTTTTACTGAAGGACTGCAGCATGCCAAGCAAAAGTACGTTATTGTACTATCAATGTCTTTGTCTTCGCGAAGTGTATCTTGTTATTCACAAGATTCAATATTCTATTCATTTATTTATGTGCCTTTTTTTGTTTTAATTTAACAGCAAGAAGCCTGCAATGGTTATAATCCATAAAACATGGTGTGGAGCCTGCAAAGGTAATTTTCAAATTGTTGCTGCAGACTTCATATTAAGCATTTTCTGAGATAACAGTTTGCATTGCATTATCGTCTCAATTCAGTACAAACATCATTTGCTCATTCTGTCAAATATGGGCGTTGTATCTACTGAAGCAATGCACCGTGTATTTTAGTAAAGTCTATGGTAGCCATGTTGATGCTACATCACTGATAAAATGCTTTTCGTTAGTGTTGATATTATTGTCTATTGATCCATCGAATAATCCTGAATGCACCCAAACGCGTTTTTGAATTGTTCTAGTTTCCTTAGGCCTAGCGTCCATGAAATCGTCACAAACGCGTTCTTCTATTATTCTGGTTTTCCCAATTTCGCGTTTTATGCCGATTGTCAGGATTATACTCATGAAACCAATGGTTTCCAATTGTATTAACTCTTTTGATTCTTTCATAAATAACTTTTATTATATTTTGCTGTAGCACTTAAGCCACACATTGCCAAATCCACTGAGATCCACAAGCTGAGTAAAAACTTTGCGATGATTAACGTAGAGGTAAAAAAAAAACAAGTTGCAATTTGTTAATGTGGCATCATTTCTATGGATGAGCATTTAGATAGAAATGTTTGGCCATTTTTGCATGAGTTTACACAATCATTCAGAAATAAAACATCAATGGTTAATCAACTTTCAATCATTAATCGGGCACTAATCATTGATGAAACAGACATTAATCAAACATCAATCAAGTACCTACAGGGTCCGTGCAGGTCCTTAAATCCTTGAAAAGTGCTTGAATTGAAAACTCGTTTTCAAGGGCACTTGAAATTAAAAACTCTTTGAAAATTTGAAAATTTCGAAAAAGTCCTTGAAAACTCCTTGAAAAAGATGGATCTCTATCATGAAGCGCTAGCGATATCTGAATTATTCTGTTCAGCTGAAGTTTTGAGGTAAGAATGTACAATTATCATGATTTTGATGCTCCTTGAAAATACAACTTTGATCCTGGACAAAAGTCCTTGAAAAGTCCTTAAATTTCGTTTTTGATACTCTGCACGGACCCTGACCTATTATTAATCAAATATCGATCGAGAATAATAACCATTAATAAAGCGTTAGCAATTAATGAAGATTTTTTGTAGGATGACGAGGAGCCAAAAGATGCAAAATTCAACGTTGATGGTCTGTATTTTCCACGAGTATTTTTCCTTGGTGAGTAACAGTCTTTCCTTTGGTTTTTATCAAAGAGAGAGTTGTAATCAAAATTCGACTTATTTGGGCCGGGCTTTTCAGTTAGTGACTTGACAGTTTGAGTCTACCATTATTAGAGTTTGCCTATGATAACTAGCACACTAAGTCGTAGCACGAATAGATTTTCTTAGTCTTGTCCTTGTTTTTACCGTTTATGAATCATTAATGTGAGATCATTTGGAGGCGGAGCTTAATCTTGTGGCGGTAAATTTCAAAAGCCATCAAACTGCTCATTAACTTTCAAATTTACTTATTTGCATAAGATTTTCTAATTAAAAACTTTAAGTCGAATTTGATCAATGAAATTCTTTATGGATTTAAACAAACTTTTGCACATACAGACTTTGGACATTCAACTAAAAAAGCCGGGTGTTACATTTTTTTAATTTTTGATTTTGAAAGAAGATATAAGCGAAACCATACACTAGTCTACACCGTTTTCACCCATTTCCGATATAAAATAAGCAAAAGTTCGTGAGCGATTTGATCATACAAAATGCCTACAAATTTTCATTCCGTTTGTAGAAAATGTTAGTTTAAGCCTTTATCTACAAAAGCCGGGTGTTACATTTTTTATTTAGGTTTTAGGTTTGTCGAAAAGTGAGTTTTTATATGACCACTTTCGTCATTTTGGCCCCTTTTCTTTGTAAGGCTTGACATTTGAATTTGGCGCCACTGCCGCAGTCACTCAACCGGAAAATGTCCGCTCATTCTGCCCCATGTTTTCTCATCACAGTAGCAGTAATCAATGTTTCTCGCACATAGAACCCAGCGGTGAGGTAATCAAGTCGATCCACAATACTAAGTTAAGATACATCAAATATAAATACGCGTACGGCGATGAAGAAACAGGTAGGTGGCTTATTCCATCCAAGCTCATTTCATTTCAGGCCATTTTAAGTATTCTTTTTTATTCTTA